TTTGCCTCGGATTTTGACAGAATATAAAAGTGAAGACAAAAAAGCTGACTGTGAAGATTTGCTGACCATTGTGTAACAGGACAACAATTTCTTAAAGTGAATCATAGCGGGAGATGAAACCTGGTATCTACAATTCCACCCAGAAGCAAAAAGCCAAAGTGCACAGGGCAAAGAACTAAGATGATACACATTGTATTTTTTTATTACAAAGAACTTACTCACCATGAATTTGTCCCTGAAGATCAATCAATTAATCAGTATTTTTATAAGTCGGTGCTTCTTCGATAAAGGCAGTTAGGCATGCAGAATAAGGAAGGAACATTTTGACTCTTGACAATGGTTTCGTTTGCACAACAATGCTACAGCATCTTCTGTACAACAATATCTTATTAAACACCCGTACAGCATCTTCTGTACAACAATATCTTATTAAACATTCAATTGCGGAATATAGTGGGTGATTCCGCAGATTAATCGTCAGTTGATTTTTTCCTTTTTTCGTTAGCTTAAGATGGTCGTGAAAGTACAAAGGTCTGAAAACGTTTCGAATAGTTATAACAGATGTTACAAGTGTTTTGAAAAAAAAGGTTAATTTCAACGGTTATAAACGTTTCAGTTATTTGAAGAAATGGTGGAAAAGCTGCATAGGCTCCTCTGGTGATTATTTTTAAGGAGATAAACTTATTTGAAGGTTAGTAACGTTTTTCTTATTTATAAGAAATTCTCTGGTTAGTTTATGGCTGCTCCATGTATATTACAAGAGGTCTAGTAAATGATGACAATTACTTTGAATATATATATGTGTGTGTAAGTTTCTTTTTAATCACTTTTATCTTCCTGCATAAGCGGATGAAGTTTTGCATCAATCCAATAGTTTATCTGTTAGAGAAATGTTTCTGTATTTAAGATTTAAAATGAAAGTTGCCGCTTAAAGTCTTAGAGATATTCACTGTTTCCTTTTACTAATTTAGCTTTTGTTATGTGAATGTAATTTATTTTTGCAATAAATTAATATAGCTTAGTACAACTGTGTTGCAGATTAATTTTTAATTCATGAGGGTTACAGCTAAAAATGAAATGAGAAATTACTTAATCTATTTAGTGCTCCTAGCTATTGAATAAGTTAGATACTTCTAGCAACTTATTCAGAAATTATACAAATGAAATGAATGCGTTAAAATGTCACAAATAGAAATATTAGAAGATAGAAAAAATTAATACAGCATACGTAAGCTACTTCGTCCATATATGCTAAAGAAACCTGTATTTTTTATTCATCGTAAATTTTTAATGCATTGTATTATGGATCGTTCACCCCGAAGTTTTCCTCCGAGGAATGATAACGGCGACTTTCTTAGATATTTCTTCTCTGAGATGTTTGCTTATTATTTATTCTCCCTCTCTTCATCACCCAAATATCCGACGAGCCGCCGTCTGCGTCGCCCGTTCATACTTCCGTCGATAGAGACAAGAAAAAAGGGGAAGGGAAAATTATTTCCTGCAATTCGATTCGATAACGTTGCTACGCAACCAGAAATTACCAAGAAATGAAGAATTGAGCTAAATGCCGAGGTTATTAGGTTGAATGGAGCGCATCTTTTTCTGCCCCTTATTATTGTTGCATTATTATTGATTTATGCTAATATGTTTTTATCCATTTAATAAAAGTTAATTGTCTCATTTTCCCTCATTTTAAGCTCATACAAATAAAAGTTGTCCACACGTGATTAGGTTTCCTTGCATAATTCTTTAAAATTCATATTTAAAGTAAAACCACGCGTAAGGAAAACTTCAGCTTTATTTTGACATCAGTTTTACACACTCAGCGTTTCAAGGGAATGCAACATGGATAGCAGGAAAAATTATTTTATGACATTTTGTCGGAAATATGTCGTTTAAATAGGCGAAGTACAATAAATACGCAATGATTAACAATAGGATAACCGTATCATCGAATTCACATAACCTTCAAGTTTCTGTTGAGTTTGGCTTGCTTTGGGAGCATAAACTAGGTCCAGCTCCTAACAGGCGTAAAGGGAATAATCCCTGTGTCTGAAATTAACTACACAGTCTTGGAAGGGTTTAAAATAATAATTCACACACAAATTTTGATCATAAATGCACTTTCGTGCTAATAAAGTCAACCAGAACTTGTAGCGATGCGACTTAAGTAACAGTCAAATTCAAATTTAAAATGTAGACTGGTAGTTAAAGACCACACGATTAAATTTAAATACCTGAAAAACTCTAAGTGAGGTAATAATTCAAACGTCAGCAGCTGTAACGCAAAGCCGAATAATTACAAACTTATCAGAGCTGGCAGAACTGTATAACATGGCCTCGGAAGGCAGAAACTTTCTATCTTTGGCCACTGGAAATGCTTTCATTCACCAGGGCGGCTTCATGTGTAAAATTCTCACTGCCTGGCTCATCCAAAAAAAATTTACTGATGCCTTTGTACCAGCTCAGTGCCTGTCCTCGCAGTGTGGCGGTTGCAGTTGTGATCTTCTGTATTTCTGCAATCGGGTAAAGCATAAAATGAGTTTCCAATTCTTTGAAAAAGGTCACTACTGAATTTCTATCATCAAAAATGGCTACAGGATTTATTGACGCTCGCACTCTATCTACGATGAATCCGAATCTTTCCATGGGACTTACTGGTTCCGGTGCAGCCTGTTATCTTGAAAGGCCATACTAAAAGTTACCTTGTTTTGTAACATTGCTTGTAATTTGTTCGGGCGCCACCTCTAGAGTTTTTTAGAATTTTTCGATTTGAAGAAACTGAAGAAATCCGCAGTGCTATCGCCGGGATCTGAACCCCGGATCTGCCGAATACGCGTCAAGCGTGCTTCCAGTTACAACACGAAGGCATGCGGAAAGAAGGAAGAAAATACCCTATTCGAAAGTCGAAAATTTGAATCTTCACCCTTTTTGTCGTCAATCAGAACTTTCGAATACTTGCAGAGACATTAGATATTTTTTGGAAGCAGGAGAGATGAAAAATAAGCAACACCTTCGGCGGGACTCGAACCACAGGCCTCTCGAATACGCGCCGAGCGTGCTGACCACTACACTACTAAGGCATGCTAAAACGGTTAAGAGAAATACTTTATATACTCCCCCTTTTAAAGGGCGACTGGGGATTAGGGAACCCAGTTGCCAAATCCTGGTGGTGGAGAATTAAACTACTATGAAATACGAAATTAATCATTTATAGTATTAATAATCTTCATATCCCATGCAGATGTTTTAATTTTGATTTTTAATTCACATCAAAAGTTTTAAACGCTAACAAGCATTACCTTTGTTGGTTTCTTTTCAAATTCATTTAATTATTAGTTTAATATGACGTTCCTTCCTTTAATACTACACCTTTGAGAATATCTGCCTCACTGTTATCATTAGCTTAGGAAACATTTGTTACAAAACTTCAGGAAATTACTCTTTTTGAACTGTAAGCATGAAAAAAATAATGGTTAGAGAATGAAAGAATAAAAGAAAAATAAGAAATAAGAATAAGAAATAAAATATGAATTGAGAAAAATAATAAATTCCCATTCCTCTGCCTAAATTGGACATCCGCCATTTGGGTCTCATCAACAAATCGCGTTGACCATTTCCCGCACTTTGTGCGTCGATTTCGAAGAACTTCTCTATATCCGGACCATTAGCGTCTTTTTTTTGGTCCCCCCCACCCCCCCCCCCCCCCCCCCCCCCCCCCCCCCCCCCCCCCCCCCCCCCCCCCCCCCCCCCCCCCCCCCCCCCCCCCCCCCCCCCCAAACGCCTTTTTTTTTTTTTTTTTTTTTGTTTTTTTTTTTTTTTTTTTTTTTTTTTTTTTTTTTTTTTTTTTTTTTTTTTTTTTTTTTTTTGTTTTTTTTTTTTTTTTTTTTTTTTTTTTGTTTTTTTTTTTTTTTGTTTTTTTGCTTTTTTTTTTTTGTGGTTTTTTTTTTTTTTTTTTTTTTTTTTTTTTTTTTTTTTTTTTTTTTTTTTTTTTTTTTTTTTTTTTTTTTTTTTGCAAGGTAGGTAAACAAGGTGCGGCCTAGCTAATGCAGAAGACTCGCATGACGTTAGTCGATAATTTTAAAAAAGAAATCGCCTATACTTCAGAAGAGGCGAAAGGTTGGAAGAGCGCGTGCAAGGATGTTTGGGATCGAACTTTATTTCCGGTCAGTAGGCAGAAGCAGGAAGTTGCCAGATGAGAAAGTCGGTTCCTGGCAGCTGAGTTTAATCGCTGATTTTTCCGAGAAATTCATCTACGAGAAGGCAAGGTCCTTTCTCCAACAAAATATTTCTTGATATCAAAAGAGAACAAAGTTATCTTTAACCTTATTTTCAGACAGATTACATTTCATCCATACACATTAATAAAAAGTGATATTTGGTTAGTTGATTTTAAAATTGAATACACAGGGAATCTTTCCATTTGTGGTATATTTTCAAGCATAAAGTGGCTCGTCTTCACATAATACATGAGTAAACTATGAAAACTTCATATTCCATCCTAATTGCTAATTGAACGTGTTACTAGCTATATAAAGAGAATGCAGTGGGAAAGACGAAATTTCCTCACACTCTTTCCTCGTTTAAAGAACTAAAGGAATTAAGATCCAGTCAGCCATAAAGATGGTTATAAATTACCGATTACCACGTTTTAATCGGGCACCACTGTAGAGTTATTATATTTTATCGGAACGAAAAATTAACTATGTTCTAGTAGGTATTCGAACTACAAATATTTTGATTGCTAGCCCTACTTGCAATCCGTTACAGTACGATAGAACGTAGTAGAAAAGGCGAAAATTCCCTATAGAATAACTACATATGTAAATATTTAGATATACCAGTAAAATTGCTTTTAATGCTTTTTTTCATGCTTTTTAATACTGATAATAGGTCGCTAAAATGAAAATTGAACTCCTTAAATTTATTTTTATGTACTTATCAATTAACCTGACTTAAAATGCTAACACTTGGATAAGTTTATGGTGACACAGTATTACCTGACATGACAATTTCTTGCATGGGTCCTCTTCATCCGTCCATTCTTCTTCGTTTTCATAGTTTTTGCCTTTATAATTGCAGCCTGAAATAAATTTTGTAAATTGTAGTGAATCATCAAAATATATAGTTGCTTTTAAGAAGAAAAAAGATGATTATGTAAAATAAAAATTCACTGTATGAGGATTAGTCAAAGGATTTAGGGGACCTTTAAAACCCTGAGTCATTGCTTTGAGCGTTCTAAATGGAAATTAGACTTTATTTGTAATTCAATTGAAAGCAGCAGAATACCTTTCAGTTGCCTAAAATTAGTAATGAAATATATACCATGGGCTCGAATATATATCTTCATTATTGTTGCTTAACAAATTCATTCATTTCGAGAAAAGTTCTGAAGAAGCAATAATTTGCCGCCAAAGATTAAAGTTAGACAGCTAATAGCATTAAGTTAAGGATTAGAAACCAGTGCTAGGCTTAAACTTTCACATCGACTTGAAATATTGAATAGAGGCATAGATAGCAGAAAAGGGCTGTTGTCTTCCAAAGCGACATAGCGTTTGAACAATAAATAATAATTTCACATAATAATTCAACACTATATGTTTCATAACATTTCTGAATGAAACATTGTTTTCTTTATTTAACCTTGAAAGTGTTTTTGAATCTCAGTAGCTCCTTTACAGAACTGGAGTCGATATACTTCTCCCTGAATGTTAAACTTTCCTGCTTTCTTCCAAGATAATCAGCAATTTTTAAACACGTAATTACTTTCTTATATATCACATACATATTTGAAAGAAATAATCTGTTATTTAAAAAATAATATGCATGAATATGCAGTGCATTAAAATTGCAGCATATCCTATGATATATGTAACAAACAAGAAAGAAAACTATGCCGTAAAACTGGAATCAGACTGAACAAATGCAATCGAGATAACTACGCAGTGAACATTCTTATTTCGGCACCTCTTACGATCACCACTTTTGTCCAGTTTTTCTGAGATCATCAGTAATCGATGTTTATTTATTATCATGACCATCTCCACCAAAGATCTAAATGCATTTAGAACACACTCTTAAAAAAATCACTGTATTTCATTTTCCATACTCAAGCTTGGTGTTTCCCGTGGGGTAAGGGAGTGTTCTTTCCTGTTAATGTATATTGAAGTTTACTCACTATGATACCCATCGGTAAAACAAAAGTTCATACGTGTTGATACTAAGGATTAAGTAACTTCAGTTATTTTAGAGAACTACAAGGAATTCACTAACATAAAATTAAGTAAACAGTAAGGCATCCAAATTGTTTACCTCTGTTAAACTAACTTCCTGACAAGTAGGAAGTTAGTTTAACAGAGGTAAACAAAGTAGGAAGGCTTATTCTTAGAATTACAGATAAAATGATGTTCTCAGAGAAATTCTAACTATAAACTGGTAAAGAAAAAGAAGTGTTGGGCCCTCTTTTGAACGCCATTTTTAAATCTCCTCAGTAAAAGAATTGCGGAGTGGGAGAAAAGAATCTGCTAAACGTGATTTTTGTTAGAAAGCACCTCGTGATGGATGAATTCGGCAAAAGTTTACGATCCGGCAGCTCCGATGATCTTCCTTCTTTTTTCTCTTGATCTTCTCTTCTCTCAACTCTCTACCCCTCCTCTCCACCCAACTGAAGGACGTCTCTCTCGCCAACATTAATTGGCATCTGTTGTCTGAGTAGGAGAGAACGCCCGCTACTATTTCGTCAACTGTTTAAATCCTGCCACTTTGTATATCTGTAGATGAGGCGATGAACAGATTTAAGGATCATGACATCCGCTGTTATAGGGGGTGGAAGGAACGGAACGGTAGTAAAAAAACTATAATACTTGGTGGCCGTTCAGTTAACAGCGGTTTCGGATATTAATCGGGTGGTGTTTGGAGACATATGTCATAACGTTGTAGCGTTATTATTTGAACTAACTAGTAGATATAATTCAACCATTACTATAGCATCTTAGCATTTAAGCTGAGGGTTTGGGACTGTAAGACAAAACGTGTTTTTACTCGTCATGGCCACGTTACGTAGTTTTTGCCATCTCTGATAAATTTGTAATTATTCGGCTTCGTGTTATTTGTGGCCGACTTGTGAATTGTTACGCCGGTTAAAGTTCTTGAGCCAGCTCAGATTTAAATTTAATTGCGTAGTCTCTGACTACTAGTCTTACGTTTCTACGTCGTTGGGCGTGGCTAGTTGAACCCGTTGGACATTTGTGGAGCAAGGTACCATGGGTGGCGCGAATGACGTAGTTGGTCAATGTTTTTTCCATGTTGGCGGGTGGGAGAGGTGCGTGTTCCTGTCACGTTCAAAATTGCACTACTGTGGAGGCTGTGGCGATTTATTGCCCGGAGCTATTCAACGCTTTGGTGTTTTTAGTGGAGGTTTGCTCGTGGCGTTTTTAGAGGAGGCCGCGTTGGTCTCGAATGCCAGAACCTGGGTTCAAGGCATAAGAGTGAAATACTTTACCTAGTCACGAAACAGCTCTTTGGTGACGAATTCAAGTAATTCACCTCTTTCGAATTTGCGAACGTTGGCTAGTTCCGAGGGCAGCCATAAGTATAATACTATAGAAATTTGTGGTTTTTCTAACATTCAACAACGTATTATCAATTACATGTAAAGGTCAAATGTTATCTGTGGTCAATGTTGATGTTAAAACAGACGGGAAAGAGAGAGTTTTAATGAAACTCCAAAATAGTATATTTAACCGTCTACAAAACTGATGCAAAGCATGAGGAGCTGCAGACAGTCAACTATTAAACTGAATCTCGAAAAATAACGTATGGGTCTATTTTTCTAAGTCATAATCAATTTCGAGTGCAATGTATTATTCACAGTTTCAAATTTAAGTATACCTTTATTATATTAATTATATGGGAAACAAAATATCATGCTTACATGTAATTCATTCTTAGCTTCCTTTTTACCAGAAACAAGTTTAAATATTTTGTTCTAATATGTTTTTTGAATTTATTATGGGCTTAGTTATGGGCTTTGTTTACACTCTGTCAAAAAAATTTCTAATGAATATTGATGTTTCTGATACTAATAATTTCTGGCGCGTCTGCTAAGATCCATGACCGGACTACGAACATAAGATATCAAATTTATCTATGACTTGTCTAGGATTTTTCCATGACGATTATCACAGGATTAGGTTGCACTAAATTTTCAGAAAATCGTTAAATATATTATGAGGAGTAGTGAGGGATATTGAAAATAAAACTCTGTGAATAATTTCAACAAAATATAATTTAGCAGATTACTAGCGTAGTACCTCAAAAAGAAAAAAAATGATGCATTGACTACGTATTACTGGAAATTAACATGAAAATAAAAACCAGTAACAAGAGAATAGACTAATAAAAGGGGAACTGATATTTTTCACTCTTTCCATATTACAAGATGATATTCAACATTCATTTCTTCAATCATTCGAATCGTATAAATGAATTTTAAGATAAATGTTATTGGCAAAGAGCATTCTTTATTTCATTTCGGTGTACGTAATATCGCAATCGAATAAATACGGAGCACAATTATCATCTTACATATTTTAACACATCAAAAATTTCATAACAAGAAATTTGCGTTCACATAACTATTATTGTATATATAGTGCATATTAATGTACATTTGAAAAGCATACATTAACACGTATAAAACAGAATAGCATAATTCTGAGTGAAACGAAAGGCCTATAAGTATAAGAAAATGACTGAAGTTTATGGTGAGAATGCCTATCTAGAAAATATGTCATAATTAATGGCAGGGCGAATGTGGAAAATGAAGGATGATCCAGAAGTTTTTTAATCACAAAGGCAGAGGAAGATATCAAAAAAGTAAAAACAATCAGCATTGTTATCGTACGTCGCTTCAATGATTTTGGAAAAAATGTCTTGTTATTCGCCTAAAAATGAAGGACAATTTGTCCCATTCCAACAATTTCCTTTATTACATTGTTTATGTGTCCCCAAGTTTTTAACCAGAAAAGGCATTGCAGTGGTTCCGCAAATCTACATCTCTTTGTCCCACTGATTTCTTTATTTTCCCCAAGCTAAACATTTCAGCAAAAGTCTATCATCATAACACTATGAACAGCACAATCATGGATTAGTTGAGAGCGATCCCACAAGACGACTTTCAACATTCTGTAGTGAAAGGAGCTTATCTCCATTGGTGTCTCCCAAGAGATTTACTTTGAATGCGATAAAGTGGATTTGCAAATCACAGTTTGATCGCATGTTTGTCGCGCCTCTGTATTCACACAAGAGAAGTGAAGCTTCTAAATTGAATCATCGTGTTTTTGCGCTAGTAAAAAACGTTTTCCTCATTAAAAGTTTTGAAAAAGAAAAATTATACATTTTTTAATTTATGCCATTGTTTTTTCAAATTATGTTTCAAATATGGTGAATGTTACCAAGCCCAAGAGCATACGTAAAATTCTTAACGGAACCTTTGTTTTCCCTCCTACGGAAATGCAAAACGTATTTTTTCCTTTGAAAAACCTCATCGATTTTCCTTCATGACACGATGAAGACTGAAAACTGTTAGAAACACCACTTATCGCAGCGACTGTTGTATATCTGACAAGCAAGAAAATGCGATACGTTAACCACTAGTTAACGCATGGTGTATCTGCCACACAGAAACAAACTGTTCTTTTTCATGCGCAAATGACGTCATGCACATGCCTCTATCACATCCGATATCACGTTGGAACGTGGCCAAATGAAGAATAATTTCCGCCAAATATCGCCACATCCGCTCGCCAAGATAGTGCAACGCTGGAGAGGGAGATAAAGAACTATTAAATAAAAAAAAAAAACAAATAAAATGTGTATGAATAAAGCGAAAGGCTAGGGCTTAATAAAACACATCTCGGCTTGATTTAGAATTGTCCTCTGTTCTCCTCATACGGTTATCGTGAAGAAACATTGCAGCAGTCACTTTGGTGATGACTAGGCAAGACTTAATAAAACTGCATCCCACTTTCTGCTATCTCATTTTCTTTCCATTTTTTTTCCATCCTGAATCTTCATTCTGTGGCTTGAGCAAGAAGGCGGAAAGAAAGAAATATGTTGCTGGAAATGGATGTTACTTCTGAGGTTTATGCTGATTTAGTAATCAAGATGTAGAAAAATAATTTTAAGATCTTCAGCTTTGATGATATGAAAAATTTACTTTACATAGCATTTTCACTAAGAAAAGCAGAAAGTATAGGACACAGTTTCCGCAAATTTTTGTCACTGTTAGATCACTGTTTAGATTACGAGTTAGTCGCATTCTGATTAAAATTTTCAAAATTTGTAAAGACGTGTGGATATTTTTACTGACGAAAACTATCATTTCAGAACAGAAAAAAAAATGCAACTCACCTTTGCACATGTCACAACACGATTTCTTCTCTTGACCGAATAACACCAAGTAACAATATTTCCGATTAGGACATATCTCTCTATCGCATTTGACTTGCTTGTTCTATGGGAAGAAAAAACAAAAGTTTCAGTCAGTTTATTGCAGCTATTAAATAATCGTAAATTAAGGAATAACAACTTTTAAAACCATTTGAAAGTATGAGACTGAATATTAAAGCAAAGGTTATTTATTTCTCAAAAAATAATTCGAAACTGCTCATATATTACGTTACTGCAAACTGAAAAATAATACAACGGTTGGACAATGACTGGAACATAATTTTCATCGATGCAGTGTAGGTCCTTTCTTAGAAACTAGTTGTGCACTGAATGCTCTCGGAAATGCCAGATGAAAGTCTTCTGAAATCAGTATAGGTGAAAGATACGAAAGATGTTCAAGCTTATTATATATTTTTTCAAAACACTTTATTACCAGTTTTGAAGTGTCAACTAGTTGGGGCATTGCCATCCTGATAAACACCTCCTTTGCGATACAATGTTTCAACAACTGGGTGGAACTGGCCCCCTAGAATGCATCGATAGTTTTTCCCACCAAGAACAGTAAATACTGCAAAAGAATTCCACGATGCTGTGGCCAAAACCATCACCAGTTCACGATCATGTTTCACTCTGGGCAGGAAACTATCTACATCATACGTTTTTGTAGGAATTATCTGTACATAAACAAACTATTTTAAGTGAAAAAGATAGTGAAGGAACAAATTTTATGAAAAACATTAAATTTCGCATTGTGTACTGTAAAAGATTTGCTCTTCTGACTGTACTAAACCAACGTACAGAATAGTCTTGGTTATTAGAGGCCTTTTTGCTGCTTAACTTCTTATCGTGCATTATATTCTATTGTACATTTGATTGTGTTGTGTTCTATGTATTTTTGTTTTTCTGTTGCCATGGAAATAAAAAATGTTATCGAAAATTATCAGTTGCAGTTTATTCTCTTAAAATATGTTTATCTCCTTGGATGGCGAATAAATATACCAGTAAGCCTCAAAGATGAATTATTTTCAATCTAATCGCATTTTTAAAGATTGATTGAAGTGAACGAAAATGATTCATTTCGTTTGTTATTATGTTCGCTCTCGCCGACAGCGTACGATTGGGTACCTCGGTTTGCTGATAGCTATAACAGAAACGAAAATACCATTTGATTGGTAAATGCTAACTTTGACCTTTCAGTGTGTATGTACATCCACTGATCATCAGGAAAACAGTTCTCAGTTCCCTAGGGACAGTCAATTTTGGATTCTGGTGTCATATTTTTTCCCGGTCAGTTTTAAAGAGAAATGAAGATTCACTTGAACGCCGATGAAATTTAAAGGGCACCATGGTACAAGTAAAGGATTATAATTTCAACAAAACGAAGAGTTTTTATTTTAGCAGGCCTAGTTGAATCCCAGCCATATTTCTGGGGTTTTTCATGTTATAGTTTTTTAGTAGTCGCTTTCAGGAAAAGCTTCCAAAGCTGTTGCAAAGTTTTTGTAGGAAATTTACTGGACTTCTGTGAACCTCTCGTTTATCTGAGGTTATGTTAATAAGAAACTACATGGCAACAATAGTAGTTCTAACTGGTGCGGTAATCAGCAGGAAAGCTACATTGTTCTGCAATATTTCCAAGGTATTGGAAAGTATCGCTAAATCATTATAAATTCCTTACAGTAGTTTAGATGAGGCTGTACATCTAGTAAATAACCATAACAATGCCTCTCTTGCTGCCCCATTTACAACCAGCCAATCCTGTCAAAAGTGGCAATTTCTGGTCCACTTTCTTCGGAACAAACGCTATATTCTCATTACAACGCAAGCAAGAGTTCATAATAGAAGCCAAAGAAATTGGATTTGTCATTGGGAAGATGTTACAATCATGGATTATTAATTGAGAATGAAACATTGCTTATTTTAGAATAAAATGCTGGCATCATGTCTTATCTAGATTTTAAGTATTCTTAAATATTCAGAAGGAGGAATTCGGATCACATGTACGAAGATCACTCTGAAATGTTTGAGATACACATAGATTATTAAAGTTATACTGAGGAAATTTTAGAAGTGTTCAAAGTAATATTCTCCAGCATCAATGCACTTCTGTAGGCCAATTTTCCAAAGATGAAATGCCTCAAGCCATTCATTTCTTGGAAACTACGAAAAAGTGCATTTATAGCCTCATCAATCTCAACTTCGGAATGAAAACGACATCCACGTACGTTCTTTTTTAGATTACAAAATAGCCAAGAGTCACACATAGCTAGATCGGATTAATGGGGTGGATATTCTATCACTTTGATGTGTTTTTTCTCAAGAAAGTGTACTGTAGTTCTTGCTTTAATGAGAAGATGCATTGTCAGGGTGGAGAATGAGTCCTCTAACATTCACTTCTTGAAAAAATTCTGAAAAACACTTCGTGGTGTACTAGTTAGCTGTGACTGTTCTTCCAGCTTCATGGCTTTGACCAGTCCTACAAACGTTTTTAATGGCACGCTTTCTTTTCACTACTGTGGGTGTGGGATCATTTTCAAAGACCCATACTTTACTTTCTTGATGTATTGGAACGTCAAAAAATTATATGTAAGTTTTAACACCAATTATGATTTTATAAATAATGCAGTGGCCACTATATTTAATTAATTTAAGGGTTTCTTTACTGAGTTTGACACGCTCCTGTTTTTGGTGCTCAGTTAAATGACGGGGAACCTAGTTTTTTCCTATACAATTCTTTATGAAGAATTTTATGTATGGTGGCGGATCCAATGCTACGTTTCTTCTGTATCAATTGGTAGGTGCAGCAATTCCATGTGCTATAATTTAAAAAGTTCTCAAAAAGTGTGAAAAAAATTTCAACTACTACTCAAATATTTTTTGTCAAATTATAGAGAAAAAGAACTGCTAGATCAAGGTTTAATTACATATTTCATTAACTAAATTTCGTTGATCTTTTTAAATAAATGTGTTTTTAAAGGTTCGGAATAAAAGCGGCTGAGTAGACGACACATATGAACCCTGGAAGTTTCACCTGGGTTCAAATCCTCACGAACGGGTTTTCTATAGTGGTGGTTTCGTGGTTTTCCTTATGTGCGACGTGAGATCGAGCTTCCCCTTAGCGTCTTCTACGAAAGCATCCTCTCCTCCTAAGCAAAGAGCCTCGTATATTTCTCTTAAATCAAAATGTCGTATTCTTAGATAGATTTTCACAACTAAACGCAGATTTGAAACTTTGCTTTGATTAAGAAATTTGATTTTTTAAAAATTATTCTTATATGACACATTCAAAAATATTTAGAATTAAATTTAAATATCTTTAAGACGAATTGTGCTATAACTCTCTGCAAGTTATTTTACATACCTTATCGCAACTGGATGCCGTCATCAACATGTGGACATTTTTTCCGGTAGTATGAGGGGGCAATGAAATCGACAAAGAAGCAGGAAGCACAGAAATATCCGCAGATTGATACTAACTTGCGCGTACAAAAACAAAAAAAAAATCACCTTGCCAACTGCGCGCTCTGGCCTTGTCATGCGGCGAAATGAAAGAACAACCAGAAAACCGACTCGGTCCTTCTCGGAGAATAAAACTAAAGTCCGTTAATTCTAAATTAAAACGGTTGTTAGTTCTTTGCCAGGGTAAATAGATTCTTGAAAATGTTCCAGAATGTTGAAAGTCAGTTACCCCTTTCACTAAAACTTTGCATATGAAGCATTTCCTTATACCTTATCTGTGACGGGGATGGAGATTTTAGGGACAACTTCCGTAAAAATTAGTTCTGTTATGCAGGCCATATATAACTAGAAAATACTATTCAACGAAAAGTGTCTAAATAGTGAATGCATCCGAATCGATACTGAATGAAATCCTTAAAACTGCCCATAAAATTGATCAAAGAAGAAAATACTAAAATAGACATACAGATCAGAAGGAGTTCCAAGAAAAATGATCTTAACGCTTTGAATTTAAACAAGAGATAAAATTACGGTTCTGCTTTAATTTAAAGCGAATATTTTTGCATTTTATTCTCCAAACTCCCTGAGAAGCATTTTTTTTTTCTAAGAAGCATTTCCCTGAAGCATTTTTAATAAATTAGGTAGTTTATTATATTTAGACTGGTACTCAGATAAATAAAAATGTTTCTTATTTTTCAATACTTAATATAAAATATTTTTTTCTTATTATTTTTCCAATTACTGGATTTAAATTCGACGTATGCTTTTCATACTTCCACCCCCCTCAATTTTCCAATTCGAAATAATACGGTAGTTAACGCATAATTTGTTGCACTTCCTCCTGACTTTTAACATCGCGCTCACTGTTTGTTTCATTAACATCGTATTGTAACTCGAAAGCCTAAATTCAGCGTTAATACATACCTATCTGAAAACTGATTTCGTCCAACCATAAAAAAATAGCTATTAGCAAAAATGCACATGCACTGTTTGGTCCAATTTATTTAGGAAGTAAGTTATGTAGGTGTGATCCAGGCGGGTGGGATAACAGCCTCTGCGTAAAGTTGTTCGTCCTTAGGATATATTCCAGTTAACATGCCCAGTAGAGATAATACATCTTTTGGCAAAGTCGCATTTGTGATTGTCTCTCGGAATCATATTTCGGCATCTCACAGTAAATTTCATTCTCCCTTCGAGCGCAATTTCATTTCACCTTCGAGTTTATTCTTTTTCAGTTTTCTGTGACGGAGATAGATTTAATTCAATTACTCCTGGTAATAAAACTCTTGTATGTTAAAGTAAAAAGCATTTTAAAAATTGATGTAAAAAGCATTTTAAAAATTGATGACTAGCATTGTTGGTAATATTTGCGTTATTTTCATTCTGTGATTCTTGGAGATAATTACTATTAAATTAGCTGATTTAAGGAAAATTTCTTAAAAAACATTTAAACAAATATAAAATTTACGAAATTTTTCACGTTTTGTTACACTGTGTTAAATTATTTGCTAAATCTAGATCTTTTGCTGACTTTTTGTAATGGAAAAGAATAAAATAATTCAATGGAGAAAATCATTAAAGTTGGATTTGATTATATTTTTAGTTATC